CTTCTAAACCATCCTAAACCATCCTAAAACATCTTAAACCATCCGAACCCATCCGTTGAACCTTTCAAGACAACGTATGTGTTCACCACCAGTCTTATCAGTCAGGTATCAGCCAGTTATCAGTCTAATGGGTGGTGCGAAGCTTAAAATGCTACTTAAAAACCTACTCAGGGGGTATAAAGTCTAGTTAGGGTGCTAGGCTTGTATATTAAGATAAATATTAAGATTAGGGAAGGAGGTGTAAATTCTTTGAAAAACTTAGAGTTTCTTGGATTTTACAACAGCAGAGATTATGGTTCGCACGTTTTCTCAACTCAATCATCCTCCTACAGTTGGACCCATATAACTGTGGAATAGGAAGACGACATTTAAGAATATTCTCGTGTGTATTACATGCTATTAGAACGCTACTTGTGAAGTGGATTGGGTCTGTTTACGCTGCACAAGTTTAGAGTTCATTGGACTGTTTGAAATCAAAATTTGAGCCGTCTTCCTATTCCACACTTTTATGAATGCCACTGCATAACATGTTAAAAAGTACTCTTTTAGTTTGAATAAGAAAGTTATTATATTTATATATAGAAACAAAAATATTTTTAAAGAAAGATAAGCATAATTTAAAAAAGATTTTTAAAAATTTGAACAATTAACATTGTTATTTTAGAAATAAGACTATTAACTTAATCATAACAACAAACATCAATTTGCCTCATTTTTTCTTGCCCCCTCTGTACCTTACTGACCCCCTGTACTAAAGTGTAAAACAAAGAGGAAATATCTCACCTGTCCTACCCTCTCTAAACTGCTCCCGGTATCTTTTCAATGCTGAAATCTAAATTGTTAAAATTATAGACCAAGGTTCCCGATCCTTCTTTCAAAACTAAATATCCTGGCGTTAATTTCACCAATTTTCAAATCTAATTCAAAGGAAAAGGTGGAAATTTGTGGCGATACTAAAAAAATCTCGGTTAGATTTTTTTGTTTAAATACACGCAATAGAGGCTGATTTATAACAGAAGTTAAAGGGATAGTTAAATAGATAGATAGACAGGGAGACGAATAAATAGACTGACAGACAAATATTCAACTAGAAATATGTTCACATATATACAAATTAATAAAACTAAAAGATAGAGAGACAAACAAATATTAAACTTGAAATATGTTCACATATATACAAATTAATAAAACTATAAGATAGAGAGACAAACAAATATTCAACTTGAAATATGTTCACATAAATACAAATTAGTAAAACTAAAAGATAGAGAGACAAACAATTATTAAACTTGAAATATGTTCACATAAATACAAATTAGTAAAACTAAAAGATAGAGAGACAAACAAATATTAAACTTGAAATATGTTCACATATATACAAATTAATAAAACTAAAAGATAGAGAGACATAATGTTAATTTATAACAAATCTTGGTTCCTTAGTGGCTAGTAATTAGATGGGAACATCTTGCAGATTAATACCGTACTATACATACATCTATAAATCTACAGGGTAAGTGTTAGTTCTACATCTTTTGAAAATATATTCTGGTCGGGGTTGACCCTCGTCAGTTCTAACGATATAAAAACCATCAAAATCAATATAATAACAGGTTAAAATATCACGAGAAAAAAAAACTTTTAAAAAATAAAAGAAAGTAAATTATCAAATAAAAAAGGGGGAAACGAACTCAGATTATGATATCTACAAAAGATAATTTGTAAATATTAACATTTTAAAGAATGTTGAAAGATACTAATTTTTTAGATTTGTCATAAAGTCTTAGAATAGGGTAATTATAACAGTAACTAAATAATATATTAATATATATTGTATTATTATTGTTAAAGTATATTTTCATGGATTTATCAGGAAGAAGCTGGAGTATTTGGGGCACCATGGAAGAGTTTAACAGCTAAAAATCTGGATAATTGGGACACCCTGTTCATCTTCAACCTTTAAATTTTCATAGGTTTTATACAGGGTTACCCACAAAGGATGAGGCTTTGGAGACGATTGAACAGAATTTTTACGATCTGTTTCCTTATATTAACGATTGCCTGCAACTGTAAACTTGTTTTTTTTTATTTATTAAATCATTATATCTATTATTATATGAGCCATTAGAGTATTATATATAAGGCCAAATACTTCATTTAACTTTGGAATCGTCACATTTTTTATACAGTCTCATCATTTGTATGTAGACCTGTAGGTTGAACAGTTGAAACCTGGAATATTTGGGACATCCTGTAGGTTTAACATTTGAAACCTGGAATATTTGAGACACCCTCTATAGGTTGAACATTTGAAACCTGGAATATTTGGGACACCCTGTATAGGCTTAACATTTGAAACCTGGAATATTTGGGGAACCCTGTATAGGTTTAACATTTGAAACCTGGAATATTTGGGGTATAGGTTTAGCAGTTCAAACCTGGAATATTTGGGGCACCGTGCATAGGCTTAACATTTGAAACCTGGAATATTTGGGGCACCCTGTATAGGTTTAACATTTGAAACCTGGAATATTTGGGGTACCCTGTATAGGTTTAGCAGTTCAAACCTGGAATATTTGGGGCACCGTGCATAGGCTTAACATTTGAAACCTGGAATATTTGGGGCACCCTGTATAGGTTTAACATTTGAAACCTGGAATATTTGGGGTACCCTGTATAGATTTAGCAGTTCAAATATGGGATATTTGGGACACCCTGTATAGGTTGAACAGTTGAAGCATAGAATATTTGGGACACCCTGTGCAGGTTTAACAGTTAAAGCCTGAGATATTTGGGACATCCTGTATAGGTTAAACAGTTGAAGCAGCTGAGAATATTTGGGACACACTGTATAGGTTTAACAGATAAAACCTGAGATATTTGGGACACACTGTATCAGTGTTTAGGTTTAACAATTAAAACCTAGGATATTTGGGAAACCTTGTATAGGTGTACCAGTTAAAACATGGAATATTTAGGACACCCTGTATATGTTTCACAGATAAAACCTGGGATATTTGGGACACCTTGTATAGGTTTAACCGTTCAATCTTGGGATATTTGGGACACCTTGTACAGGTTTAACCGTTCAAACCTGGGATATTTGGGACACCTTGTACAGGTTTAACAGTTGAAGCTGAGAATATTTGACCTACAGTGAAGTAAGTAATGCTCTAAAACAATCTTTAAATCTTATTTTGTATGAGAGGAAAGATATATTAGCCTGTGAAACAAAGCATTATACTGCCTCACCAGATCTTTACATAAGATCTTAGTGTTTACACTGGCACAGTGTTTCAACTACAACAAGATAAATACAAGTCGTCTTCGTAAAGGTACTTCTCATCAAGTTAAGGTCCCATAAACTGTCGTAGCCGCAGCACTCGGCCAAGATGTTGTTTTAACCCGGCCTAATCTAAGCTGTGACCTTTTGTTCCTTTGTTGTTTGCCCCTTTGTAACGTTTTTAATCGTTTCTCGTTTACCCTGTGTGGTTTTCCATTTTGTAGCGTTTTAACCGTTTTCTCCTTTGTCCTTATGTTGTTTACCCCTTTGTAGCGTTTCTAACCTGTGATGTTTGCTCCATTTATTGGTGAACCATAATGTTTCTACTAAGTTCTGGGTACAGGTAGGATAAATGTTTGTTAAGTACCAAGTACACAGTACAGGTAGGATAAATGTTTGTTAAGTACCAAGTACACAGTACAGGTAGGATAAATGTTTGTTAAGTACCAAGTACACAGTACAGGTAGGATACATGTTTGTTAAGTACCAAGTACACAGTACAGGTAGGATA